CTTAGGATCTCTGTTTCTCTCTGTGAAAGAGAGGAGCATGATAGACTCTAGGTCTTAACCCATGAATGATAACATTAGGTTAGTTTGATTCCCTTCGCAACCGTAGGTTAGAGTTCTGTCTCTTCTTTCTCAAAACAAACAGAAAACACAATAAAATTTCAAACACCATAAAAGACACTTCTTCCGTAAAAGAATGTGAACTCATCAAGACGTCATTTTCGTCCGCTTGGACTGCTAACTAGGAAAACCTTTTTCAGAAGGAATAAAATCAACCAAGACAAGCTTGTGTCGTACGTGGCCCGAACTACGTTTGCTCTGATCTTTCATGCTGTGTGAAAGTACGTAGGCATAGGATGATATATCCTAGCGAGCAACCTTCCCCTCCTTTCCCGTAGGTAGGCGAACTACGTTGACTCTGATTTCTCGTTCCAGACGGGAATACGTAGGCATAAAGTGCGATACTTTGCCGAGTCATTTTCTTTTCCTTTTTAACCCCTGACCTTTAGTTTAGATAGAGTGACAATCCATACCCGAAAACAAGCGTGGATCCCGTCAAGTACGACGGACGTGAGGGGTGCTAATACCTTCCCCTTGCGTAACCGACTCCCGAACCTAGGTTTTGGTTGCGATGACCATACCTTTCCCGTGTTGTGCGAGGTTTACTCTGAGCGTTTCCTTTCCCTCCCGTGGGATAAATAACGCACGGTGGCGACTCTTCTGTTCAGTCGGCGCCGATTTTCGCAGTAGCGACAGGATGCAAGAAATCCTTCACACTCAGGTGCAATATTAGATTATTACTCACGAAAATTGTGGGTATTTATTCAGAAAGATAAGGATGGAACTATTGAAAGTTTTAAATTTTGGAAGACCTTAGTCGAAAACCAAATTGGAAGGAAGGTTAAGAGGTTGAGGACCAACAATTTTTTTGAATTTTGCAATAAGGCTTTTGACAGCTATTGTGTTGCGTCTGGTATTGCAAGGCACAAAAGTATCACACATCCTTCCTAGAAAAATGGTTGGACTACAAGGTTTAATATAAACATTATGGAAAGAGTGAGGTGCATGTTGGTTAGTGCGGAAAAAAGTGGTTTTAGGATGAGGCAGTCATGACTGCAACTTACCAGATAAATAGGTTTCCCTCGACTACCTTGGGGATGAAAACACCTGAATAAGTTTGGTCGAGACATCCACCTAATCTCAACAGACTTAGAGTATTTTGTTGTTTATCCTATGCTCACATTAGGCGAGACACGGTCGAACCTAGAGCTCTGAGATGTATGTTTCTTGGATACCTTGAAGGAGTCCGAGTTTATAGGTCGTGGTGCCTAAAACCAGGTCACAGGAGGTGTATCAGAAGTCGAGATGTAGTTTTCAATGAATTTTAGATGAATTTCAAGAAAATTGAGGATGTTGGTCAAAGTAAGAAGATCTCTGTAGAGGAGCCAGAACAGGAAGAGATTCCTGTTGAGGTAGAGCATAGTGATGTTGAGTTTCATAACCCATATGAAGTAGGAGAACAAGCACATGTTGTCGACGAAGTTGAGGAGACTGATAATGAATACCTGCTGGCAAAATTTAGGTCGAGAAGAGTCATCAAACCACCTCAAAGACTTGGTTATGCATATCTCATAGCTTGTGCCTTAATCTCTGCAAGTGAGGTTCTGAATGAAGAACCTAGAGACTATAAGAAAGTTATGAGAAATCGAGACAATATTGAATGGGTTAAAGCCATGGATGACGAGATGGAATGTCTTTATGATAATAACCTTCAGGAGGTGATCGAGAAACATAAAGGGGCTAGGTTAGTCAACTTTAAGTGAATTTTCAAGGTTAAGGAAGGAATCGAAAGAGTGATACCGAAGTGATTTAAGACAAGGTTGGTTGCTAGTGGGTTCACTCAAAAAGAAGGTGTCGACTTTAATTATGTGTTCTCTCTTGTTGTAAAGCACACATCCATTACAATGTTGTTAGCCATGGTGGCAAGGTCTGACTTACAACTTGAACAAATGGATGTAAAGACATGCTTCCTGTATGGTGATCTATATGAAACAATCCTGGTGACGCAACCTGAAAGGTATGCAGAAAAGGTAAAGAAGAATTATGTGTGCAAGATAAATAGTTTGTTATATGGCCTGAAAAAATCTTCTTTACAATAGAATAAGATATTCGACATTTTCATGGCATACATAGGTTTCACTTGAAACTTGTTCGACCACTATGCCTACTTCAGATTTCGACCTGAAATTTCACTTGTTATTTTGTTGCTTTATGTGGATGACATCTTTATAGCAAGCAACAATGTTGAGGATGTTATGAAGGTGAAGGTTGAACTCGATAAGGAGTTTTACATGAAGGATCTGGGTGTTGCCTCTAGGATTCTTGAGATTGACATCCGAAGAGATAGAAAGAAGTCGAGATTATGCTTATCTTAAGATACATACCTGAAGAAGATTCTCGAAAAGTTTGTTATGTCGAATTCAAAGCATATTGTAACACCGACTAATCCTCAGTTTAAGCTGAGTACGACTTAAAGTCACATTACCGAAGTTGAAAGAGCCTATATGAATAGCATTTCAAATTCTAGCATAGTATGTCTTTGATGTATGTTATGGTCTGTACGAGGCCATACATAACGTACGAAGTGAGCTTTGTAAGCAATTATATGGCCAATACTAGAAAGGCACACTAAAAACATTAAAGTGGATTCTAAGGTACATAAATGAGTCTCTAGGCAGAGTCCAGATTTATGGTGGAGCATATGATGATGATAGCAAAGTCGAAATTAAAGGATTTGCCGACGTTGATTATGCAGGTTGTATTGATTCTAAAAAATCTATTTTTGAATATGTGTTCACTATGTTTGGCACAACAATTAGTTTGAAAGCAACACTTTAGAAGGTCGTTGCCTTATCAACCACTGAAGTGGAGTTTATTTCTCTTACTGAAGTTGTGAAAGAAACATTGTGGCTTGAAGGTTTTTCTAAGGTGCGGAAACTTCAAGGTCAAGCAATCACTGTTAAATGTGATAGCCAAAGTGCAATACGTCTTTCGAAGAATTCAACCTATCATGAGTGAACCAAGCATATCGATGTGAGGTTGCATTTTTTTAGAGAGATAATCGAGCATGGAGAAGTCCAAGTGCTGAAGGTTTTGACTGATGACAATGTTGCTAATATGATTGTCAAGACATTGCTAAGTTACAATTTTTTCCATTGTATGTAGCTGATATGACTACATGATGACGGCTAGTTGGTTTCGTGGTTTAGAGTTTGTTCCAAGGTGGAAATTTGCAGCTTACGGGTTATAAGTTAGTGTTGTAGCAAACTCTGCAAAGTCGAAGAGATCTATCAAAGTCAATGGGCTTGTGTAGCTATCGAAATATGTTAGCTTGTTGTTTAAGTTAGCATGTTGAATTGGACTAGTCTGTTGGGCCAATTGTTTAATTTGTTAGTTGAAATCTAGTTTTTAGTTCTCTTATAAATAGCATACTAGTTCTCACTTCTCTATCAATCCCTGAAAATTCTAATCAGAGGGAGAAAGTGTCGTGGTTAAGATTCAATTGTAAAAATTGTTCTCTAATATGTAATTGAATCAAGAATCTAATTTTATACTACTTTGATTTGTCTTTCCCTTCTCTTTCTCTCTTTTCCTGTACCTTGTGGTTTTTTTAATAATCAAAAACTAATCATACTCTATTTCTTAGACATCATTTTCCAACAATAATTTAAATAGAATTAACAAATCAAAATAGTATAATCCATAGATTATCTAACATATGTATTATCAATTGTGATTAGTTCTATCTTTTACTATCAAAAAATTAACGAAATTTACATAATAGAATTTGAAAGTAATTTCAAAAAATAAACAAGTTACTTTTTAACTCTTACATAATAGAATTAAAAATATAATTTTAAACTTTTAAATGTTGTAGTTGTTAATGCTATTTTTTTCTTTTCACCACACTATCCGCAAAGTTCATCATTTTTGTATATATTATTTTTGTTTAAGATCATTTATTATGGTTGTTATTGTTTTTGTCGCATGCATCAAATTAAAAGGTTTTGATGTGATTGAAATATTATAATATTTCACTAAAAGTGATCCAAGGAATTAAGTTTACAAATGAACACCATAAGTTCTAAATTGAATATTGAAAAGTATTTTAGAGACAATGATTTTAGATTATAGAAAGTAAAGATACAAATAATATTAAATCAAAAAAGGTGCGTAGAAGTATTGAAGAGGACATTGATGTCTATAAGCCTAACATAAGCAAAGAAGACACAGATAATGGATAAGGTTATAAGAGACATTATCTTGTGTCTCGAGAAGTAAGAAAAGTCAAAAGGTAGAAGATTATGGATTCAATGTGTGCATAGTTTAAAGTTACAGAGAAAAGTTTTTGGGAAGTTTCATATTGTTTGAGTTTTTGGATTGTTGAATGTATAAATATGTGAGATCAATTTCACCCTTTGAGTTAGCTTTAAGATGGATATCCAAGCACATTTAACATAGTATCAGAATCGGGATAAGGGCTGCAGAGTGGGAATTGAAGTTCTATTTGAATGGTAGAGTTTGTTTGAAGTTTTATATTGTATAAATTTTCAGACCGATGAATGTAATGTGTGAGGGTATCTTCATCAAAAACTGCAATGTAGAAATTTCAGTGAGCCTCGCGTTAGGCGTAAGAGTGAGTGCTGAAATTATATGAAACTTAGACAAACTCAATCTATGAGGTAACTTTTGGGGACGAGAAAGGTAATTGAAATATAACGTAAAAACAATCACTATGAACTATTAGTAGGCAGATAAAATAAAAACACTGAAAATGCATGTTTTATTAAGGGTGTACACAAGTGAGCTGCTATAGCTCTTATCCACACTAAAAACAACAAAGTTACATTACAACACAACTAAGTTGTGGTGACCATACTAGTAGCTACCAGCAACATTGCATATCCCACTTATCTTTGCTTTCAGCCATAACCTCAACTCTTTCAAGGAAGAGTATAAGCTGCAAAATTCACAATTCCATAACAACAATTAGCATGTAGTATTCAATTTTAAAATCGACAAATAAATACGAACAAAAGAAGTAGTTAGTTAATTAGTTACTCACGTCCACACTTGTAACCGATGGGACGAGTAGCAATATTGCAACGTTTAGGGATAGTAACAGCAATTTCAGGGTCAGCACCAGACATTTTAGCAACGTTTGATAACATAACAGCACAGAGACAAGCTGGATTCTGACCAAGTTTCTTAACCTGAGCACAACAGCTTTGAGACACATTAGCATCTTCATCAGATGCTGCATTAGCACAAGGTGCTAGCTTAAAAGCTTCATTATCTGGTGTTGTACCCTTTCCACATTCACCAGCACTTTCAACTCCATGAATCCCTGCAACAAGGACAACAAAACCAACAAGACACAACAACTTCATAAGACCCTTCATTTTTTGTTTGCTTAATGTATGTCTAATATTTCTTGTTATATGTGAAAATACCATGCATTTGATGGTGTTTTATAGTGATGAAAATGTGGTTGGTCTAGTCATCCACCTTAGATTAATGGAACCTGCACTAGTACTAATTGGTGAGTTTCTTAGTATATATTTTATTGCACCACTGAGCAATAAAAAGCTTGTGTCGACATAAATTTGTGCTACAATATACTATTACCTCGGTCTCAAAGAAATTGTTGTTTAAAGTTATTTTATACAAATTAAGAAATGTAATAATAGTGTCATAAAATATTATATTTTTAGTAAATTAGTCATATTAATCTTTTGGAAGAAAATAGTGTAAAGAGTAAAAATTAAATAATATAAATTATAATTGAAAAAATAATAATTATTTATATATTAAAAAGTCAGAATAATATTTATTTTAAAATAAATTTTATTTGTTAAAGCGACACTTATTTTCATATGAGAATTATTTGCAGTATGTAATTAAGGCATAAATGTAATGAAGACACTATAGAACATAGCTTGGAAGTAACTTTTAAAGCCAACTACCACAAAACACTAACTCACACTCACTTAGCTTAATGATCCCCCTAAACTAGCTAGGAGTGCCTTGTTATTGTTTTTAATTAAATGTTTGTTCTATAAATGGTTGTTAAACTAATGAAAGGTTGTGGAATAAGATGATTTTAAGAAAGTTTACCCGTGAAACTTAATGAAATTAGTTCAAAAGAGCTTTGAGATAATGCTATAAGTTTTGTTTTGATAAAGTTAACCATATAGTACTTATTTAGGTGTTTATATTAAAAGATGAAATTGAGTAAATGTTAATTAAATTAGTGTTATTTTGATGGCAAGCTGTTAAAGGATTTAATTTCTAGCTTATGTCTTGTGGAGAATAACTAAATAACTAAATCTATCTGTTATTCGTCTCTAACGGCCTTTAATAGATGTTAGAATTTTGTTAGCAATCGTCTCTAATGACTTTTAATAGCCTCTAACGGTCTTTAATAGATGTTAGAGTTTTGTTAGCAACGACCATATTAAAGATTTAAGTGATTGTAAGTGATTTTAACTATAGTGAAATATAAAAATTTTGTAGCACATTTGTCGGTTTTTTATAAAATGAATTGAAATAAATAAGTGACTTAATGAAATGAAAGTTATTTTTAGTGCACAAAATATTTGTAATATGGTCGAAGTTGATTTGAAAGTTTTTCCTTAAGATGCGAGTGAAGCATAAGGAAAATTCTTTTAAGAGAAAACAAGAAAATGGATTGCAATGTCTTATTCGTTATCTATGATAGTCATGCCAAAGCCAAAGAGGTCAAGTTGAAATCTTTGAGAAGACAACTTAAGTTGTTACGCATGAAGAATTTTGATAAAAAGAATGTCCAATGTTATAATTGTGAGAAACTAAGACGTTATGCTAATGAATGTTGGATATGCGAAGGAAAAAAATTCAATAATGGCGTAGAAGTAACCAAGATAGCCCAAGAAGACTCTAGCTTAGACTCAAATCAAATTATGCTCATGGTTGCAACTAATATTAAGGCCTTAAATTCATAAATCTGGTATTTTGACATTGACTGTTATTAGGGGTGGCAAAATAGGTCCGATCCGTTGGACATTTCCGTTTTATCTGCACTTTAGTATGGGGCGGGTCATGGATTTAAATCCTCACCCTCTAATGTGTCCGTCCTGTCCCACCCTATTTTCTTCGCGGGCTTTTGCGACCATAAGTATTTACATAAATTTTTGTATTTTTAACTTTAAAAAGTGTGGTGCGTGCGGGTTTTTTCCGCCCCACCTTCACTCTTTTGTAGAGTGGATCTAGATTTTAAGCTCGCATCATCAATTATGTTCGTCCTGTCTCGTTTTTTTTGCAGATTTTTACAAGACGGAATTAAATTGGTCGGACATGCCCGTTTACCATCTCTAATTGTAGTAATCGCGTGATTGAAAATAAGGAGTGATTTTTGATTTTGGTGCAAAGTTAGACGCGGAGTATCAAATTAACTAACAACAAATCCATCTTAGCATAAGGTATGGGATATGTGGCTATACTAAGAAAATTTAGGAATTAACCAAGTCCCATGTTTGTAAGAAGGATATTTATGTGAAACGGGTCGTCAAGCAGAATGAAAGATTGGTTGCAAAGGGTTTCTTAAAAAATATATGAAATTAATTGTGATAAAGTTCTCTCACTTGTGGCAAGACATGAGACCATTGGCCTAGTAATTTATTTGTCATGCAATATAGGATGACCCTTATTCCACTTTATGTTAAATCAGCTCTCCTTAATGGTCCTCTAGAATAAAAGGTGTTCATAGCATAACACCTAGTTTTGAAATCAAAGGGAAAAAAAAAGATAGAGTGTAGAAACTGCAGAAGGATTTGTATTGCCTAAAACAAGCACCAATGGCCTTGAAAAAAATCCGGAGAAAGGATTCAAAAAGTACAATTTTGAACATGAAGTCTATGTTAAAAGCAGAGAAGGGGTAAGTCTATTGATCATTTTCTTTTATGTATATGACTTATTTATAACTGGAAGTTGTGAGAAAAATATTGACCAATTTAAAGTCAAGATAAAGTTTGCATTTGAAATGAATGACTTTGGTAAGATAATTTATTTCCTTTGCGTGGAATAAAGTTGACAAAATTCAAGATGTTACTCCAATCACACCGGTTGATACAAACATGAGAAGTGGATAACCAGATACAGATGATGGAGACAAGGAATGTGCTATCATGTTCATGCAACCTTTGTTTTTGTTTAATGATTTGATGATTGATATCAAATTAGTTTTATGGACCAAACATTGAATATCATACAAGGGCATTTGGTCTAGTGGTATGATTCTCGCTTAGGGTGCGAGAGGTCCCGAGTTCAATTCTCGGAATGCCCCTTTTGGTTGATAAATTTATTTTAAAATAAAATAAAATACTATTCATTTTAAATAAAAATGAATCCTTCTACATATTTCATTCATATACATAACAAGAACAAAAAAAAACATTTGAAAAAAGCTTAAACTATTTAACATCACTGGAATCAAATGCTGGCACTTCATCAACTGTTTTTGATTCTGAAACTTGTTTCTCAATTGAACTACTCCCTTTAGCATCAATGCTAAGAAAATCAGTTAAAGATTTCTTCACCCCTACACCTCTCTGAGAAGTTTTGCTCCCATTATTGAGGAGTGGAGATTTTCCTACCTTTGAAGGACTAATCGCATGTGCGGGAGAGCGCGTCGGCGTTCCAAAAGCTGATTTGTATGGAGTCGTTGGGACAGGCGCCGAGTATGGAAGTGAAATACTCTTTCGAGTAATTACACCGGCCTTTGAATGAGATGAGAATTGATCAGAGTTTTTTGTTAAGTCGTCTACATAGAGAACATCGTCAATTCGCGATACCATGTTAAATGCTAAACTCTCGAGGACTCGCGAGTAGCTCTCAAGAATGGCTTTTCCAACGTCCTAAGACAACAGAAAATTTCGTAGAAGTGTTAATCAATCATAATCGTTAGATCATTAAAAAGACTTTTGGTTTTGAAGATCACAAATTCGAACCTTGTTGTATTGGATTTTGCTCATATCCAAAGCCGTTTGAGGGAGACCGGGAAAACGCTGCTTCAAGGAAAGTAGTAGTGTTTCCGCTCGATCGGCGAACAACTCCCTTTTGTCCGCATCGACCATTAGATCCTTGACCATTTCCCATGATGTTCTTGAACTTGATCTTCCACTAGCACCAGCAGGCTTTGAATTTGGTTTTTTCCGCCATATATACATGGAAGCCTCTGCTCGGTTTGCGATCTCTATAGCTTGATGTTCAGAAGATAAATCCAGGCAAGCTAGCAAACATTCCGGAGAAAAATGATCCGACGTGATATATCGATGAATAACATCGCCCAAGCTGATTCTAGCATTCTGAAAGATAGGAAGTTGGATAAGCAATTCGATCATTATCTCATTTGTTTTCGCGATGTTAGAAAATTTGAAGAGAATAAGGTTTGGTTCGCTCATCATACCTTTGGAAGAGACTCTAAATAAGACTCAGGAATGTCCATTTCGGCTAAAGTAATACTGTTAATGGCCATGGCAGCTTTTAGTATTTGGCTCGTGCAATCGCGCTTGTGCTGCAATTGCTTTCTTGAATTCTCATGTAGTCCACAAGAGGGGACACGAGGAACCGGAAGCCACCATTTCTCTTCTTGTCGCTGAAGTGCTTGCCTAAACGACGACGGACTATTACCCGCATCTGGAGCTATAACACCTTGATCTACATACCAAAACTCGGTATCGACAAAACTATCTTGAATTTCCTGCAAAAGTAAAAAGTACCATAATTTATAGTTTAGAATAGCTTCCTACTTGAAAATCTGACTAATGAAGTAAACTCGATGTTGTATAAATCTTACAAGAAGCATGTTATCTAATTTGCGCAGAGCTGGAAGATTTACATACAGATCCGAACGCGGTCGACAAGTCATGACCTGATTCGCATTTAAGAAATATCGTTAAACGTGAACAAACTAAGTAATCATCATACACTATATAACTCAACATTATAACTATTTATACACTTACCTCAAGCTTGCTTCCGTCGGGAAACGTCTGCCAATTAGGTGTTAATTCAACGATATGATCACTAACCGAAAGAAGCCATTCCATCTCTCTTCGCCACATTGCTTTCTTCTCCGAACGCAGAGGCTCTAATCTCCAAAGTTGCCCAAATAGGGTAGCTGCATTTTCAGAAAAAATTTTGAACAAAAACAATTAGAAACGAGAAAAATTGATTTGTCGGGTTTGGACTTTCTCGAGTAAAATTGATTTTAACTTGAAGCCAGAATTTTGAGCTTTCGTCTCTACAATTAATTTTTAACCTTCAACCAACTTTTACATGAATGTATTCAAACAGGAATCACTTTAAACTTTAACTAACTTTTAACCAGAATCAATTGTTTTTAAGAATCAATTAACTCAAA